CATACTTCAAATGGCTCAATATCTACATTCATCTATGCTTATTCTGAACATACTCTCTTTGAAACCATTGGTCCTCCCCTCTCCCTTTCAACTATCATGCTGCTACACACAAGAAATGTACACTCTTGGGGTCAGCTAGGTGGCACAGTGGTTACAGCACCAGCCCTGAAGTCAGGAGGACCTGAGTTCAAATCCAGACTCGGACCAAACATTTGACACTTAGTAGCTGTGTGACCCTGGGCAAGTCACTTAACCCCAATTGCCAGAAAGAAAGAAAGAAAGAAAGAAAGAAAGAAAGAAAGAAAGAAAGAAAGAAAGAAAGAAAGAAAGAAAGAAAGAAAGAAAGAAAGAAAGAAATGTATACTCTGCCTCTTTTTCCAAGATGCCATGCTCACAGAACCCAGGCCAACTTCCAGACTAATGCACTAAAGGAGGTGCCTTACCCTTCAAGTACTCTGGTTACTTCTTGATAACACTAAGGACTTTCCCCACCCCAGAATTGCTATCACTGGTTCCCTCCTTGAAGATGGAAAGGAAATCTCCCTAGAATATGCAATATTTCTCTTCCACTCTCTACACCACAGGATTCTGAGCTTTTGACAGTGAAAGATTCACATTCCCCACATTCCATATTTATTTTCTCAAGCCAGTATGTTCACCAAAGTGGTCATTACAACAACAGGAAGGATCATTCCCTATCTAAGCAGGCATGAAGAAGATGAAATCCAAAATATTTGGGACTATAAGTAAAACGGGGATCAATGGTATTATCTAATAGATTGGGTGGAGAGAAGAGAGGTGAGTTCAAAAGCCTGGACATGGGAACAAGTCGAGAGAATTTGAAGGCATTGAGATGTTCTGTCACTTCCTGACCTATATCCAACATGAGGATACTATTACTAAAGCAAGGAGGTTAGCCTAGTTTAAACTGTGATGATTGCTGTACATCTTTCATTCTTGAAGAGGACCAATGACATCATGAGGGTGAATTGGATTTGGGTGAGGAAGAGCTGGGCAAAGTTGTCAGCCTCATAGTTTCTTCCAAAGTCATCAAAGATCAGTGGTAAGACAAAAGTCAAGATGACCGGCTGGGCAACAAATGTTTAATAGTTCCTTTTAGTGGTGGGACGTTGTGTACTTTGTAGAGCATTCTCATATCCATTATCTCATTTGATCTGCCTTATGTGGGTACTATAATCCCACCTTTTATGTACTTAAAGACGTAACCTGTAGCCCTGCCAAGATATAAGGATCCCAGCTGACACCCTGGGAAGCTGTCCTGTTGCTTCCATTTCAGCAGAAGCTGCAGTTAGTTAGGCTATGACAGCACTGTTGTTGTTTAATCCTTATATTGGCCTCATAATTTTGACATCAAAGAGTAAACAAGTACAATGGAGGAAAGAAAAGGAAAGCAGGATCTTCCAGCCAAAGAGACAATGAGGTCATTATGGTTTGGAAGTGCCTTACCCTTCAAATACACCTTTGTGTTCTGCTGCTAAACTAGTTATTCAAGAAGAATAGCCAGCTGTATTTATTTCGTGTGCATTTCCTGGCATAAATATGGTTTGTCTACAGAGGCAAGTTGCCCAAAGGTCATGGCATGTAGAAAATGAATGAGAAACTCAGTGATGACGTGGTGCCCCAGGAGGCAGCCTTGCCGTGGGCTTGAGCTGACATTCCTAAGACCATACTCTTTTCCTCAATGTATATATCAAGGCAGAGGTCACAGATACTATCACATATGTGAGAACAGGTGATGAGATGAAGAAAGGACTTTCAACATTGGTATTTGTAGGAAAAATAGAATCCAAATATTTAAAAGACTATATATTTGGGGCTGAGCTGTGACTATGAGCTAATTTAAAAAAGAAATCCCAGGGTTCATTAGGAATGTTTCTGGAAGCAAAACGAAACAAACAAAAAAGCCTGATCTTACCCTTATAATAAACTATAATATGTTTACATCCTGAATACTTTGATATAATTCTTTCAACTTTTCCAAAATGAAATAACAGAGCTTGGAAAGATCCAGAATAATAAATAATTAAAATGATGTATCTTCTATATGAGTACTACTATTCTTTGAAGTATTTTTATGAAAGCTGTTTGGAGTTTTTTCAATTAAATTTTATTTCATTTTTATGATAAACAAAAACCTGGCTTCTTTGCCCCCCTCCCCAAATGAGAAAGAAAGAAAGAAAAACAAAACCCCTCTTACTAATATATATAGTCAAACAAAACAAAGCCTCTAATTGGCCAAGTATATGGAAACTGTTAGAAAAAAAGAGAGAAGATATCAAAGTTTTTTTTTAAATTATCAGTGACACATATAGATTGAACCACAAAATTGTTCACCAGACAGGTTAAAGGAGAATTTTAATATTCATATGGCTAGTATCCTATACTATTTCATCATTATTGATCAAATGATCACAAGATATTTACATATCCTTTCTCACATATCTTAATAACTATGACTTTATATCCCTTTCCTAGATTTAAAACAAACTATAATAGCTAAATCAGTGGAGGAGTTCTAGTCTACTAGTTCCTGTTTGGGGCAGGATAATACACGACTGAGGAAGAATGAGATCCCAGTGTTAACAGCATGCTTGAGATCAGAGGCATGTTAGTGGGGGAAAGTATTTAGGAGTAGTTAGTAATGAAGAACAACACTGGCGGATGAATGTCTGAATGGCCAACTTTTGATGCTATGCAGGTAGGTACAAGAGTATGTGAGGAAACAGCCAGGTAAGATTCAGAGGAGCTTAGCTGCAGGGGCTTAATAGTCTTTGCATTTCTGTATTGTTACCTATGGCCCACAATGTCCAACCTCTTGGGAAAGGTAGTCAGAAGCTCATGTAATATTTGTGTTCCTCTGGCTTTCTGTGAGGGAGGGACCCTAGATGATCACTGCACTACTTCACAATCTGGGAATGACTATCAAACTTTGATGTTAGGTAGCACCCAAATTTGTACACCCTAGTAATTAGGGAATTCTTCAGCAAGACAATTCTTGCTAGGGGGATGAGGGTAAGGATGGGAGGTGAGAGGATATAATCTAAAAGCTTGACTAGGACAATGCCAGAAAGACTGGGTTACCACTGCAGGAGTTAAACTGCCAGTCAGAGCACAAAGCTAAAAGAATCTGCTAAAAAAAATTAGGGAGGCAAAAAAATATAGGGAGTCCAAAAAAGCCAAGAAGGTTAACATTTTGTCTGAATTGTAGCTGCTTTCCAGAAGCTTAGGATTTTTTATTCTGAAAGCTTGCCTATTCCTTCCACACTGACCCTAATGCCCCTGGGTAGCCCTCACACTCCCCATTCCCAACTCACAATACATATATCCGAAAGCAGCTTAATTTCTCTTCAGTACCCCAGATCGATGGATTCAACTGACTAATGCCCTACTCATCAGCTGCTCTGCTGGCTATTGATTCCTCTAGTTTTCTATAAGTAGGCATGCTATTCTCTCTAGATGACTTTCAAAAGTCACATTTCCCCTGCTGCCTTAAACTTTATATTCAGCCTTTTCTAGTCAGAATTTTCTACTAAAAGAATGCCTTTAGTAAAAGGGGGAGAGTGGAATGAAGAGGAACGTTTTTTCCAAATAATGATTTTCTTTTGAAATAAATTTTTTTTCTTTACTTTTTTTTTTTGCCTTCCTGTGATTTCCTCTACTATTTTAGACAAACCATGGTTCTTCTACCTAAAAGAAACATAAATAGTGCAAAGACCTTTTGGGATTGGGAAAGCCGATTATCTGGTGTAAAGGGCTATTTTCTTAGGAAATTCCCTCAGCTCAATAGCTCAGATCACTTTTCACAGGCTTCTTCTGAAAGGAGGCCATTGTTGGGTAATCCCAGAGTTTTGTGAAGTGGTTTCCAAATTTAGAGCTGAATCAATGAGGGAGAAAGATGAAAAAGCACTGGGGTCTACTATTGAAATACTGTGAATTGCCTTCAGCAATTTATAAGAGGTTCTTTTGGGCTACAAGGGGAGAAAGGCTTACAAAGGTTTTTGTTTTAAGCTTTAACTGTTCAAAGCATGGCAAGACAAATTAAAGAAAGATTTGTAGGCACTTCAAAGACAAATGGGTATATTTCATGGGACATTAGCACAATGGAGAAATGCCAAGGAGACAAGAAAGCTAGTAAAGGCAGATTGTAGTCCAGTGGCCTTTAAAAAATGAAAACGAAGTTAAAACTCTAAAAATCACTAGTATACTGTAGTAATGTGTGTTTGTACATTTGAAATACTCTAAGAAAAATTATTGTTAAAGTGAGGAAGTTAGAAATAAATATCCTTAAGTTTTTGAAGTCAAAATCATGGTAGCAAATGATCATGGTGTCCTTAGGTTCCACTGTCAAAGCTAGAATACTGAGCTGAATGGACAATTGATTCGTTATAATTCTCGCTTTCTTTGTTCTGTTGAACAAAAAAAATTTTTTTTAATGTCAGGGTGATACTACTAGCATAATGAGAAAAAACATGAAAATCCCTAAAGGCCTTCAAAAAGAAAATAGGATAATCTTAGGTGGTTTACCTGCCTGAAGATAAAGGGCTTGAAAAGATGATCTCTTCAAGGTTCCTTCTAGTTCTATTATCATTCCCTCAGAATTAATTATGTTCCTTTCTTATTATCTAAATGACTTTAATCTAAAATGTATTTGCTCTTTCATGTAACCTGTCATGTAGACCAATCAAAATGGAAAACAAAGCCACTGTATATTATGATGATGTATATTTTCATGTCATGGGAGAATAACTTTAAATAATTAACTTCCAGTCTGGAGAATCAAAGTGTTATTTATGTTTCAGGTTAAGCTCTATGACAGGTTAATGCTGTCATGACTTCAGGACAGTATCATATGTAAATACTGCATTTTATGACGTGGTAGATTACGTGCTCCAAAAATCCATTGCTGAATTAAAAGAACCAAAAGGTCATAAAACTCACAGTTAAATTTAATTTCCAAAAGTGAGTCTAATAAAAAAGGCTCTTCTTCAAACTGGTCTCCAATAAAGGCCACAACACAGGGTTTAATGACTCCTGATCCTAAGGCAATCAGGGAGAATCCTGACATAAAGAGGATCCTGCCAAGGAAAGATGAAGACTGTGTCAGTGATGGTCTTTCACATTTCATTAGTATGCTTAGTCTCAGTGTATTGGCCCTTCTTTCCCATTTCTCATCCATGACAACCAAACAAAGTCCCTTTGGGGTCAAAGAGATGATGACAGAGATAGATTTCTCTTTGGAGAAACAATAGGGAAGGGCACTGGCTCATGAAGAACAAACTGAAGGGCTCATCAAAAGGAAGGGGAGTCTCTATTTCATTGAGAAAACACATGACTATTTTGGCCCCACTTCTCATTCCTCTGTCCCTCAAGTTTCCAAATAAACCCAACACATCAGCTACTCAAATCCAGTATTTTTCCCCCATCTTCAGTCTTCCATTTCCTATTCTTACTTTCCTTCAGTCATGAAAGGGCATATACTATATAATGAAATATTTCTAGCCCAAGCTGAAGTGAGGAGAAAGAAAGAGCTCAACAGAAGAAACATAGTAGGAAGATTGAAAGATGAGTTACACAAGCCTATAGGGATGGGTCAGAGAAAGCTACATAGAAGAAAAGAGTCTCTGAATAGAAAAGGACCTTAAAGACCACATAGTTAAGCACTCACCCAAAACAAAATTCCTCTCTAAAATAACCACCACAAATGACCACTCTATTCTTGGCTCTCTACAGGGATGGGGAACTCACTACTTATGAAGGTTCCTCATGTTTCACTTCTTAACAACTCTAATGATTAGGAAGGACTTACTTATATTAAGCTCAAATTCACTTCCCTTCCCATTCTACCTAATGGCCCTAGCTCTGCCCTTTGGGACCAAGGACAGAATAAGTCTAATCTCTTTCCTACATGACAACCCTTCAAATATTTGCAAATAATTTCTTTCTCTCTCCTAAGTATTCTCTATTCCTGGCTAAATATCATCAGCTTCTAAACGGTTCCTCATATTATACCATCTCATCATCATAGTTGCCCTTTCATGAATGTGCTCCAACTTTTCATCATCTCTCCTAAAATGTGACGTCCAGACCTAAATGCAATTTTCTAGACATGGTCTGTCATGTACAAAGCACTCCCTTACACTGGATACATCTATTACTGCAGCCTGAGACTGAATCAACCTATTGGGTGACCACATTACACTGGTTTTCCTGAGCTTGCAGTCCTTTGCATACAAATGTTGTCTAGCTTTGCCTCCCCCCACCTTCTCACTTTGTAGCTGAGTTTTTGAACTCAAGCACAGAACTTTATCTAAATCCCTACTAAATTTCATTTTGTTATATTTGGGCCATTGTCTCAACCTGAATATTCTTGAATCTTGATTGTGTCATCTAATGTATATGTTTCCTTCTCATATCAGTGTCATCAGCAAGTGTAGTCAAGCGTGACATTTACATCTTCAGAGTCATTGATTAAAAAATGTTAAACAGAGGGGGGCGGAGACAAGATGGTGGAGTGAAAGCAGTGACTTGCTTGAGCTCTCCTCCAAACCCCTCCAAACACTCATCAAAAATGGCTCTAAACAAATCCTGAAGCAGCAGAACCCACAAAAAGACAGAGTGAAACAAATTTCCAGTCCAAGACAACCTGGATGATTGATCGCAAAGGTGTATCGCACCAGGCTGGGAGCTCAGCGCAGCGCGGAGTGGGCGCACAGGCCGCAGCAAACCTGGAGCAGGCCTCAGAGGACTGAATCACAGGCAGCTGTGGCGGTTTCCAGACTCCTCAATCCACCAATGCCAAAGACAACTTAGAAGGTCAGTGGGAAAAGGCTGTTTCTGTTGGTGCTGAGACAGGAAGGTGGGGTTTCAGCTCCATTCCCCAAGAGAGTGGCCCTGGGGAGGGCAGCTGCTCCCCGAGCTTCCAGCCCACAGACTGAGGGGGAATCCAGTGGCTGATCAGAGAGGGACTGCAGGGATCTCTTTGCCAGTGCTGAGGCAGGAAACCCTTGCTTTGCCCGTGTTTGGATCTGGGTCACAGTTCTAGGCGGCAGTGCTGGGGTGAGGAGGAACGCTGGTGTGGTGGAGCTTGGACTGGCTGTGGAGAGGAACCCCTCTTCACAGTCACAGAACAGAAAGGAATATTTGTGGTCACAGGCCAGGAAAGGAGTAAACACCTCGCCCCTTATCATACCACCTTGGAAGAACTGAAAATTTACAGGCCCCTACAAGTATCTCTGAAAACAGCTATACAAACCCCCTAAGCTTGGGACAGTACATTCTCCACATTGGAAGCAGACTCTTACCTTAACAAAGAGTTTAAAACTCAAGTAGTTGGCCGGGATCATGAGCAAGCAGCACAAAAAAAGTCAGACCATAGAATCTTACTTTGGTGAAAAAGAAGATCAAAATATACAACCAGAAGAAGACAACAAAGTCAAAGCTCCTACATCCAAAGCCTCCAAGAAAAATATGAATCAGTCCCAGGCCTTGGAAGACCTCAAAAGGGATTTTGAGAAGCATGTAAGAGAAGCAGAGGAAAAACTGGGAAGAGAAATGAGAGTGATGCAAGAAAATCATGAAACAAGTCAACAGCTTGCTAAAGGAGACCCAAAAATATACTGAAGAAAATAACACCTTAAAAAATAGCCTAACCCAAATGGCAAAAGAGGTCCAAAAAGCCAATGAGGAGAAAATGCCCTAAAAAGAAAAATTGGCCAAATGGAAAAGGAAGCCCAAAAGATTACTGAAGAAAATACTTCCTTAAAAATTAGAATAGAGCAATTGGAAGATAGTGACTTTATGAGAAATCACGACACAGTAAACAAATCCAAAAGAATGAAAAATTAGAAAACAATGTGAAATATCTCATTGGAAAAACAACTGACCTGGAAAATAGATCCAGGAGAGAGAATTTAAAAATTATTGGACTATCTGAAAGCCATGATCAAAAAAAGAGCCTAGACATCATCTTTCAAGAAATTATCAAGGAAAACTGCCCTGATATTAGAACCAGAGGGCAAAATAGAAATTGAAAGAATCCACAGATCTCCTCCTGAAAGAGATCCCCAAAGGAAAACTCCTAGGAATATTATAGCCAAATTCCAGAGTTCCCAGGTCAAGGAGAAAATATTACAAGCACCAGAAGGAAACATTCAAGTACTGTGGAAACACAATCAGGATAACACAAGATTTAGCAGCTTCTACATTAAAGGACCGCAGGGCATGGAATATAATATTCTGGAGGGCAAGGGAGATAGGATTACAACCAAGAATCACCTACCCAGCAAAACTGAGTATAATCCTTCAGGGGAAAAAATGATCATTCAGTGAAATAGAGGACTTTCAAGCATTCTTGATGAAAAGACCAGAGCTGAATAGAAAATTTGACTTTCAAATACAGGACTCAAGTGGAACATAAAGAGGTAAACAGGAAAGAGAAATCATAAGAGACTTATTAAGATTGAACTGTTAACATTCCTGCATGGAAAGATGATATTTATAACTCATGAGACCTTTGTCAGTATAGGGTAGTTGGAGGAAAAAAATTATATGTATGTATATGTAGATAGATAGATAGAGGGCACAGGGTGAGTTGAAGATTAAGGGGTCATATCTGGAGAATAAAATTAAGGGATGAGAGAGGATTATACTGGAGAAGAAGAAAGGGAGAGGTAGAATGCGGTAAATTATCTCACAAAAAAAAGTCTCTTGCAGTGGAAGGGGAAACGGGAGAAGGTGAGAGGGAATGAGTGAATCTTATTCTCATAGGATTTGGCTTAAGGAGGGAATAACATAGACATTCAATTGGGTCTGGAAATCTGTCTTACCCTACAGGAAAATAGGGGGAGAAGGGGACAAGAGAGCGGGGATGATAGAGAGGGCAGATTGGGAAAGGGGTAATCAGAAGTAAATACTTCTGAGGAGGACAGGGTCAAAAGAAAGAATAGAATAAATGGGAGGGCAGGATAGGATTAAGGGAAATAGAGTTAGTTTTTCACAACATGTCTACTATGGACGTGTTTTGCATAACTGCACATGTATAACCTACATTGAGTTGCTTGCCTTTTCAATGAGCGTGGGTGGGGAGGGAGGAAGAGAGAAAATTTGAAACCTAAAGTTTTAAAAACATGGTTAAAAAAATGTTTTCACATGCAACTGGGAAATAAGAAATACAGGAAATGGGGTACAGAAGTCTATCCTGCCCTATAGGAAAATAGAAGTGGAAGGGGATAAGAGAAGGGGAGAGAGATAGAAGAGAGGACAGACTAGGGGAAGTGATATTCAGAATGCATGCCATCTTGGGGTGGGGTGAGGGGTGAGATGGGGCGAAAATTTGGAATTCAAAAACTTGTGGGAGTGAATGTTGAAAACTAAAAATAAATAAATTTATATAAAAAAAATGTTAAACAGAACAGAGCTAAGTATGGAGCCCTGCACTACACCAGATTAATAGGAGTGCATTGATCAATACTCTTGCTAAGCATTCCTTCCATCAGTTCTGAACCCACCTAGCTGTACTATCACCCAGTTCACATCTGTCCAATTCGTCCACAAGGATATCATGAGAGACTGTGTAAAATGTCTCACTGAAATCCAGGCATACCAGATCTCCACATTCCCCTGATCTACCAGACTAGTTACCTTGTCAAAAAAGGAAATGTGGTTAGTGTGGAACAGCTTGCCCTTGATGAATTATGCTGTCTGATGGTGATTAAAGTTTTCTTTTCTAAGCACTCACAAATCTTCCCTATAATGATGCCTCTGAAGACTGTAGTCAAGCTAACAAGTCTCTAATTTGTGGAATCCACTTTCTTCAACTTTCTGAAAATCAGCACATTTGCCAGACATTAGCCAGACTTCCAACATGAAGTTTCCCTCTTGGTTTCCACCATTTCTAATGCTTCCTTTTCTGTTTGTGGGTGCTACCATTTAATTCTTACTTGAGACATCTACTAGTATACCAGCTTTCTCCCCACCATTAAAAGAAAGGGTAGGCCTCCTGGAATTAGGTATGATGGTTTCACAATCTTTTAAGGCCTTCAAAAATCCTCATAATTCCCTCTTCATTCCCCAGCCCTATTTATCTTCCTCATCTTCCATTTCATGGTTCAGGACAAAAATGTGCCCCTATAAGTGAGGTAATAAGAGAAGAAAATAAATGGATGAGTTGGTCGCCTTTCCTGACCCCAGGGGAAGGTAGCAAAGTTCAGAACTAAGAGTTAAAATAGAGGGAGAAGATAAAAAGGGAATGGAAAAAGGGAGAGAAGTCTTGCTTTATGCCTATAGTGCCGAAGATTCATCAAGAGGTAAAGTAAAAAATTCAAGTGAGGATCTACTCACTTATCCAGCTGTAGAGCTGAATTAAACAAGCAAGCAAATGCCTAAAACAGCCAGATATCTATAAACCCCAAAACAAGACCAATGTTCCTGAGATACTGTGAGAAGAGCTAGCTGGAGGGTGAGGTGGGCATATATTTAGGTGACAATATCCATCCCAGGTCCCAGGGAATACTCACAGATGAATCAATTGTCCTCCCTTTATGGGCACTGAACTGAGTATTAGGATCATGTGACCCATCATACATAAAATGTGGCCGGTCACAATTGTGCTGTAGAGGGGGGAAAGGCAATGTTAATTATCAGCAGGTGGCATAATATTAACTAAATACTTAGGTGCCCTTAAATATACAAAGAGTATAAAGAGTGGAAGGAAGAACAGCTGCCATTTTGAGATTCACAAAGTGCTTTACATACGTTATTCTAATTTGATTTTCACAACAATCCTTTGAGGTTAGTGCTACCATTATCCTTATTTTACAGATAAGAAAATTAGGGCTTGGGGAAATTAAGTGGCTTGCCCAATATCACACAAGTAATAAGTGTGTAAGGCCAGTTTGGACCCAGGTCTTAATGAGTTCAAAGCCATTACTCTTAGCACTGTATCACACACACTAACTTTCCAAGGACGGTCCAGAAACAGAAACTGCTGGAAAAGAATTTGAGGCAATTTGTGTGTATGTGGGAGTGTGCCCCTATCAATATCAAACCATCAATTTTCTGTAATCCTTAGTGTTTGGAATGTGTGATGTGTGGGAAGTTCATCATCACAAAGCCAAATCACAACCATTTATAACTTAGATGAATCTCAGAGTGTCACCTGAGGCCAAAAGAGGCTGAGTAACTTGTCCACGGTCACACAGAGATTTGAACTCAGGACTTGGAAACATAAATAGAGAATCTAGAACCCCTCAGGAGAATGCATACATGTAAACTAACCAGAAATTCATAAGGATTTCATACTAAAACAACTAAACTAACATATTAGGGATATTATGAGAAATCATCTTTCAATTAACCTGGTGCTAATTATGAAAACCTGTTCCTTTTATCTGCTTGTGCCTGAGTGTCTGTTCATTAGCACTTTAACCAAGTGACCAGGAAAGGGGGTCTTAGTTTAACTTGGCCAAAAGATTTGCTGATTTGGTGAGAGGTCTAAAGTTCATGGTTCTAATGAAGCACTGGCATTCTATGAACTGCATTTCTCCAGTCTCTTCACATGTACTTATAAGAGCATTCAGATGCTCTCATAGGGTCTAAAACTGCTGCTCTTGAGAACCCCAAGAGCCTGGTCAGGAAGACAGCTGTGCACTGGCCTGAAACCTTGACAGAACTTCCCATTATGAGAGCAATACCACTGCAACAAATTTAGTGAATGTCGATGCAGCATCTTCAAACCCCATTGGGAAAAAAAAAAGGAAGAAATGAACTAGGAGCAGAGTTAAATAATAGTAGCTGAGGAAAGCAGAGAGAATCTGGCACCTGAACTCTCCTGGTCTCTTACCACCACTGGCTGATTTCTGGGCAGGGGATATCTTAGCAGTTATATTTCAACATCTGCTGTTTGATTTCCTCCTAGATGACTACAGCCACAGAGGCAGACTTTAGAAGGAGCCCTCATGTTTCTTGGTACACTGGAGGGATCAGAATATTTTCAGGGCAAAAGGAAAGCTTCTGAACCTAAAACCCCCAAATTACAGAACAACCTCACTTCTTTCCTGGTAAAAGAAGTCCAAGCAGCTTCGTCAATCCTACACAGTATTTCCTTGGACTTTTATCTTGGTGTAGCCCTAATCCACTTCATTTGCTATTTTATTTCAAGATCTTGAGTCAAATATTATCTAATTTCCTAGGTTACATTTTCTGGGCTTACGGAAATGGAAGGCATTTCTTCCTTACTTGTAACTTCCCAACCAAGAGTCAGCAACAATAGCTCCTGTGATGCTGACTAAAAAGTTTAAGCCGTTAAAGAGATGGTAAGTGGCAGTAGAGGTGTTTTCATTCCATTGGAGGAAGTAGACCATGTACAAGGTGATCACAGCTGGAGGAAAAATACAAAGACAAAGCTATTCAACTTGTCTATGACACTATCCCCATATCTACCTTTCCCACTGAATGGCCAATACCAGAAGGGCAGCTAGGTGGTGCAATGGATAGAACACTGGTCCTGGAATCAGGAAGACCTGAGTTCAAATCCAACCTCAGATACTTACTAGCTATGGGTCTCTGGGTAAGTCATTTAATCTGTTTACTTCAGTTTCCTCATCTGTCAAATGAGTTGGAGAAGGAAATGGCAAACCACTCCAGTATCTTTGCCCAAAAAAACCCCAAATGGGGTTAGGAAGATGCAACTGAAACAACTCAACAACAAAACATTAATTTCCCAAGCAAGAAACCCTGAAGAGTTGTCAATTTATTATGTCTCTTCACTCTTCCCATCCAGATGTGCTTTAACCATATTGATTTTTAAAAATGTATCAATCAAAAAGCATTTATTAAGTACCAATTATGTGCCAAGTATTGTGCTAGACACTGTACAAAAGTGAGACAGCCCCTGCCCTCAAGGAGCTTACATTATATATATTTCAAATCTACTCCTTCCTTTGAATTCTTGTAATCATAGATTTAATACAGGAGTTGTCAATCTTTCATATTGGCTACAACATTATGCCACTTGCCCTTCTCTGCCAACATCCCTCTTTTACCAATTGTTAATACTTTTAAGGTGTCTTCTTAGCTGCTCATTTTGGACATGTCAGTCATCCTCTTATGGTTCTTTGCTGAATTCCAATTTAAATATAGATGAGATCTATAATCAGTGGTATTGGACATTCTAGGAATTGCAATAAGACTAAAGAAGGTATTACAGGGGTTAACATTAGAAATGAAGATTTCATAAAACATGATAATCTGTCTAGAAATTCTAAATGCCTCAATCAACTATTTTATAAGGATAATAAATGAGCTCAGTAAAATTGCAGGACACAACATTAACCCATAAAAATAAGCTACTAATAACCAAGATCAAGAAAACATAATAAAAAACACCTCTTTAGTGATAACAACAGAAAATAGTAAATTAACCTATCTGCCTATTATAAAGCACCAACAATTAAATAAATGTTTGTGCTTGGGATTTGTGTAAGAAAGATAAAACTATAATGACCAAAATAAACAAGAACATAAAAAACTAGAGAAAAATTCATTGTTCATGGATGGACAAGATTAATAAAAGTAATAATACTCCATAAATTAATTTATATAACTAATGCAATATGAACCAAAATACCAATGGGACTTCTTTATAGAACCAAATTAAATGAAATTTATATTAAAAATGGAAGGGTAAAAATATCAAAGGTCACACTGAAGGAAAAAGTAAATGAAGGTGGTCTTGCAATTCTAGATTTGAAAACATATTACAAAAGGGTTACCATAAAAAAAAACACTTTATAGTACTAGAAGGTAAATAGACCAGATAGATGAATGGAATAGAACATTCATCCAAAAGTAGACAAAATATTATTGTTTGATAAAGCTATAGAAAATTAGGAAGATTTACTATTTGGCCAATGAATTTGGGAAAACTATTTGGCAATATGGTAGAAAAGGGATTTAGAGCCACATGTTAAATCATATGTTCCATGAATTCCAGCTGGATGAGAGATTTAAACATAAGATCTCAATTGTAGAGGGGAGATTATTTTTTCCAGCTTAACAAATAGAAGGAATTAATGGGGAACACGATAAATGTGCTTTACTACAAAAATAAAAATAGAAGCAGAAGTATGGAGAGTACACTATGATCATATAAGAGAAAAAGAGAATGTGAACGAATGGGCAAATAAAGAATGCTGATGAAGACTCAGGTGGAAAAAAAAACCATGTTCTTTTATACATTAAAATTAAGTAACTTCAATATAAATATCACAAAGCAGGGTGATTTGGTTGTTCTGGTGTTCAAGTTTTCCATAAAATGCTTAATTTTAAAAGATAAATAAAATAAATGGGTTGGCTTAGATGACCATCTGGTCATTTATGTCCTTCTAGTTCTAAAAAAAAAAGAAGGGGGAGCATGGTGGGGGGAGTGAAGCAGATTGCTTCAGTCTACCTTTTGAATTGCCAAGTGATTTCGTTCTTCTCTGCTAACACTTCTTTTGTTTGGTTATTTGCCAAAGGGCATCTCATCACCACTAACGCCCAATCCCATCCCTTCACTCCTTTCCTCTCCCAATTACAAAGCAAATGTAGTTCCATTGCATTCCAGATCAATGGCTGAAACTTAGTTCCTTCTATTCCACTTTCAGATAGTTTTATTAATCCCTGTTAGGAGCTAATGTCTTATATTAAGAGAAAGAAAAGCATTATACTACCTTTGGGGGATGGTATGAGGGTTTTCTAGTACAGATCAGTTTTCTTTGCACACCATAATCTAAAACAACTTCTTTCATTCCCTAATTCCAAAGCATTTTTTTAATGTTCCAAAGAAACTTTGAACAATCCACCCCAAAGTATTTCTTGGACAGGAGACAGCTACCCATAGGCTGGTATCTCCAGTTACTTTTAATCTACTTTTAAAAATAAGCCATTGGCAATAACTACTGCCTGGCCCAAGTCCTTAGAACGTTTTGAAATGACTGAAAAAGTTTTGAGCTCCCTTCAGAAAGTTTAGTGGGGATTTTGTTTGTTTGCTTGGTTTTTCCATTTCAGGCTCTCAAGTGACAAATGGGCATATTTTGAGCAACTCTGGCACAAAGTGGCTTTGGTTTTTCCGCTTGGTATCCATGTATGTATCTGATCAATGTGATCAAGTTGCCACATGCCTTGAAAAACCCAGGGGAATTGAAAATGATGGAATTTAACCTTCATAAATCTGTGTTTTGTTTTGTTTTTTAAAAGAAGTTGCTTTTCAATAGACAGTGATAAATGGAACAAGACCACAAGATTGTCTATGTATTTAAAGGAAAAAAGTGAAGAAAAGAATGAGGGTCGAAAGATTAAGTCACAATTGATTGAGAGATGTTGGTGTTTACATTCAGAATTCCTTTACTTTCAAGCTTCAGGCTTAAGTTTTAAGCAAGAAGAGAAGGCTTGCCCTCCCTATCTTACTGCTTAAGTCTTGCTGGCTCTTTCTGCTCTAGTTCTCATTATGCTACATTTGTGTATAGTGTAAAATAACCCAGATAAGGGGGGCACCCAGGTGGTGCAGGGATGCAGTACCAGGCCTGGAGTCAGGAAATTTCATATCCCTGAGTTCAAATCTAACCTCAGACACTTACTAACTCTGTGACCCTGGGCAAGTCACTTAACCCTGTTTGCCTCAGTTTCCTCATCTATAAAACTGAGCTGGAGAAAGAAATGACAAACTACTCCAGTATCTTTGCCAATAATACCCCAAATGGGGTCACAAAGAGTCAGACATGACTGTATTGACTAAACAAAAAAAGTTGTAATTCCATAAAAGTTATTCTTAAAATGAAATAACCTGGAGATGATCGTTTCCATGTAGTCAGTCCTGGCCTTTCACTTCTAAGCATCCAACCCCTGTCTGTACCCTTCTTAATAATTTAATTGTTGTTTTGTTGTTAAATCACGTCCAACTCTTTATGAGCCCTTTTGGGGTTTTCTTGGCAAAGATACTGGAGTGGTTTGCCATTCCTTCCCCAGCTCATTTTACAGATGACGAAACTAAGGCAAACAGAGTTAAGTGACTGGCCCAGGGTCACACAGATAGAAAGTGTCTGAGGCTAGATTTGAACTCGGGAAGATGAGTCTTCCTGACTTCAGGCCTGGCATTCCATCCCCTATGCCACCTAGCTGCTCTGTAATTTCATCACCACTCCAAAAAAAAAAAAACCTGCCACAATAAAAAGTTTCAAAGCCTAGCGATAGTACTGATGTTTGGTCAGTGACATCATATTCACATATAAAGGACAGCCATATTTCTCCTACAACGAACTCTCTCATATAAGGTTTTCATGGTTATTCTGGTACTAATAAAACCAAAATAAAACATGACTTTTTTTTGGTCTAGAAGCAGTGCGGTATAGTGGTGGAAAGAGTATTAGATTTAGTATTGGGGAAAGGTGGCTAAGTGAGGCTGGGTTCAAAGGAAGTTAAAGGGGATGGCTAGGTGGTACAGTGGATAGAGCACCGGCCCTGAAGTCAGAAGAATCTGAGTTCAAATCCGGCCTCAAACCAAACACTTGGTGCTTTCTAGCTGTGTGACCTTGGGCAAGTCACTTAACCCCAATTGCCTAAAAAAAAAAAAAGGTATAGTTAAAGTCCTGCCTCTGACACAAACTAGCTGGTTGACTCAAAAGTTACCCAAACGTCAAGATAGGTCCAGATCTTAGGTCTAGTGCAATGTTCACTCAATAATGATGATGATGATGATGATGATGATGGTAGCTTATATTTGTATAGCACTTCGAGATTTGCAAAGTACATATCTCTGTTGGTGCTTAAAACAACTCTGGGTAGTAGATGCTATTATCCCCATTTTACAAATGGGGAAGCTGAGGCCCAGTGAGGTCAAGTGACTTGCCTAAGGTCACACAGTTAACACATGTCTGAGGACAGAGTCAAGACAGGGTCTTCTTGACTCCCAGTCCAAAGCTTTATCCACCACCCCATACTATAGTCACATTTAAAATGAAAGGGCTGAACTGAAGTAGGCCCTAATGTTCCTTTCAGCCCCAAATCTATAATTCTTCTATTTCTCTTTTACGGGGAATTTGAGGCAGATCAGCAACTCAGCTGACACTTATTTTAGATTGTTGTTCCGCTTGCAAGTGAAGACATCAGCAAGCATTTGAGAGAGATCTGTACTGAGAGTTTAAGCGCATTGTTCAGGGTCCCATAGCTAGTATGTGTCAGAGGCAAGACTTGAATACAGATCTTTCTGACTGCAAAGCCATCCCTCTATCTGGTAGGTTGGGTTACCTCTTGGTATAGCTTTTTTTTTTTTGGCTTCTGGTTTTACATTTTAGAATGTCATCATACATGTTTTTTCTTATAGAATGCAAACTATTTGAGGGCAAGCATAGTTTTATGTTTTATTTTTCTTAATCAATGCTTGCTGGTTGATTGATGCCAGCTTTCCTATCAGGGATGGGGATACTTAATTTAAATCTTTTGAGATTTAGATTTCTCCAAATCTATCTGGGCATCCCTAGATTTGGCATATCTGTATAATGATGCTTTTATTTGTCGGGAAGACCAGCATGTTCCTAAAGCAAACTCGCACCCACTGATTTGTCCCTAACTTATCAAAAGGGAGAAGGAAAGGAGGGGAAATGAATCCAAGGAATAGGGAGTACTACAGAAGAAAAATGGAACATCAATTCTGCTCACATGTGCACAACCTGATCTCTTTTAGGCCTTTGGCCCTTGAGCTAATTTGTTGTTGTTCAGTTGTTTCAGTTGTATCAGACTCTTTGTGACCCCTTTTGAGGTTTTCTTGGCAAAGCTACTGGAATGATTTGCCATTTCTTTTTTCAGCTCATTTTACAAATGAGGAAACTGAGGCAAACAGGGTTAAGTGACTTGCCTGGACACTATACTGACTACTTTACAATCATTATCTCATTTGATCCTCACAATAACCCCGGGAGGTAGGTGTTATTATTATCCCCATTTTACAGCTGAAGAAACTGAGACAAAAAGGGGGGTTAAGTGACTTGCCCAGGGTCACCCGGTTGGTAAATGTCTGAGGCTGAATTTAGAAAGGATATTGTGAAGTTGGCGTGCATCCAGCTGAATGTAGTCATTATGGTGAAGGGACTAAAAACCATATGAGGAATAATACAAGGAACGAGGGATATTTAACTTGGAGAAGAGAATACTTAGAGGAAACATAATCTTTCATTCATATATTTGAAGGGCTGTCATGTGGAAGAAAGGTCCTCCTGACTTTAGGCTGGTGCTTTATCCACTGCACCACCTAGCTGCCATGAACTATTTGGCACAGCTAATTGGCATAAGCTTCAAAGAAAATGTAAAGCCTAAGAGGTGTTTGGCTCCTCAGCTGATGCAAGGAAAGCATAGCCCCACAAAGAAGGAATATCCAGGTGGGAATGGAAGAATTGGCCTATTACCAGAGGGGAAATGATGTCAAGAAGTTTTGAGTAAGTACCCTAAAATAGCCCATCTTTCCTTAATTGGAGTACCTGTTGTACCACCAGTAGAGAAACGCTCACAGAACTCATTAATCAAGATGAAAACGATATTTATCGGGTAGTTGGTGTCAGAGATTTTCTATAAAAAACAAAAGGACAAAAGGTGAGAGGTTGGGGGAAATTACAGATAATCCTTTCTTTTCACTTCAGTACCTCTCTATTGACTTTAGTTCTATGTTTCCAGCTGATTACAACACATCTCTATTTGGAAATCCTGGCATCGCCTCAAAGTCTGCCATGATTGATAAATGAGATTGTGATGGAATTTTTATATTACACCAATTGATGTTTGTTTGTTTTTCCTTTTACAAAGGTGTTGGGTATGATGACTTCTCTGGGTAGCAGACATATGGAGGCAATAGTGAGGATCTTCAGGTTTTATCTTCAATCCTACACAATGACAGAATCTTAGAGTTGGAAGGGCACTCAGAAGTCATATAGGGCAGCTCATTCCTGAAAAGTAATCTCCAGTTCAAAACCTCTAACTAATGGTCATCCAGGTGTCATTTGAAGATCTCCAATGAAGGGACCGCCACTGTCTCCCAGAGGAGTCCATTCTACTTTCTAATTGTTAGGAGGTATTTTGTCTTATAGTAAGCTTAAATGTGTAATTGTATATACTTAATAATATAGAACTTATTAATTATACTTAATTATTCAATATACAACTTATTAATCTTTAAGCTTAAATCTGTCTCTGAGGGGGCAGCTAGGTGGCACAGTGGATAGAGCTCTGGCCTTGGAGTCAGGAGGACCTGAGTTCAAATCCAGTCTCAGACACATGACACTTACTGGCTGTGTGACCCTGGGCAAGTCACTTAACCCCGACTGCCTCACCAAAAAGAAAAATAAAAAATCTGTCTCTGAAGTGTCCACCCATTCCTTCTAGTTCAGTCCTCTGGGGCCAAGCAAAATAAGTTTAATCTGTCTTCCACATGACAGCCTTTCAAATATTTGAATAAAAGATCATGTTCCCTCTAAGTATTCTCTTCTCCAAGTTAAATATCCCCAGTTCCTTGTATTGTTTCTCACAAAGCATGGTTTTTAGTCCCTTTAACCATACTGACTACACTCAGCTGGATGCACTCCAACTTGACAATAACCTTCCTAAAGTATGGCATCCGGAACTGAACACAGTACTGCAGATGTGCTCTGATCAGAGCAGAGCAACTATCTTTTTCCTTCTTACGGATACCATACATCTCTGAATGCAGTCTAAGATTACATTGGGTTTGAGGTTTGTTTGGATGGAATGTCATACTTTGGGGGAGTTGTTTGTTTTTTTCTTAATAATTTTGAATTTGTAGTTCATGTACATGCCCAGCTTTTTTTTTTTGCTACATCAAGTTGTCTAGCCATGACTCCCCCATACTAGATTTGGTCAGTTAATTAAAAAAAAAAGTTTATGCCCAAACTGTGCATACTCTTTGATACAACTACTAGGTTTGTATCCCAAAGAGATCATAAAAAATGGAAAAGGCCCTACACATGCAATAATATTTACAGAAACTCTTTTTGTGGTGGCAAAGAACTGGATATTTAGGGGATGCCCATCAGTTGGGAAATGACTGAACAAGTTGTGGTATATGAATGTAATGGAATACTATTGTGCCATAAGAAATGATGAGCAGGATAACTTCAGGAAAACCTGGAAAGACTTATGTGAACTGGTACTAAGTGAGTAGAGCCAGGAGAACATTGTACACAGTAAAAGCAACATTTTGTGATGATCAACTATGATAGACTGAGTTCTTCTCAACAATACAATGATCAAAGACAATTCCAAAAGTCTCACGATGGAAAATACTATCCACATCCAGAGAAAGAACTATGAAGTCTGAATAAAGATTGAAGCATACTATTTTCACTTTTTTTGGTTCTTCTGTTGTTGTTTTTCATGGTTTTTCCCTTTTGTTCTGTTTCTTCTTTCACAACATGACTAATATGGAAATATGTAGCTCAAAAGAAACACGACCTGAACAAATTTAGAGAATCCCAAATGTTCACATGGACTATTTGTGCCCAACCTGTGGTAGAGCATTTTGAGCTTATATTAGTCTTATCAGCCACAGTCAGGTACATTATAATTTGACTCTAACATAGCGATGTAATTTTAGTCCTCTTTGAGAACAAAGGACAGCAACCAATGTGGAAATATGTTTAACATGATTGCACATATATAACCTATATCAGATTGCTTGCCATCTTGGAGAGGGGGATGGGGAGGGATGAAGGGAGGGAGTAAAATTTGGAAATCAAAATCTTATAAAAAATGAATGTTGAAAACTATCTTTACATGTAATTGGAAAAAAATACTATTTACAAAAAAAAACCAGGTGAATTCAACAAACATTAAACAACAACAATATGCAAGGCACAAGTCTAGTCATTCTGCACACAAATCAAAGTGAAAAGCAACTGTCTTCCATTGGGGAGCTTACATTCTACTAGAAGGATATAATCTTTACACAAAGAAGTAAATGCAAGATAATCTGAGGAGGAAGAGAACACTTACAGCCATGGGGTTCAAGAAAGGCTTCCCATAGATGGAGGCACTAGAGGTAAGATTTAAAGGAAGAAGTAAACTTGAGAAAGGAGTATATTCCAGGCACACTGGACAGTCTGTGCAAAGGTAGAGAGGAGAGGAAGGGAACAAACATTTATTAAGTACCTACTATGTGCATACTAAGTGTTTTTTTACAAATATCTTATTTGATCCTCACGATAACTAGGAGAGGTAGGTGTTATTATCATTTGCATTTTATAGTTGAGGAAACTGAGACAAAGATTAAGTAACTTGTCCTGGGTCACACGGTTATTGTCTGAGACTGTATTTAAACTCACGTCATCCTGACTCCAAGGCCAGAGCTCTATCCACTGTGCCACCTAGCTATGAGATGGAATATTAGGTTTAGAGAAGAAATAGGTTGCACTGACAAATAGAGTCAATTAACAGAAATGTAGCATATGTGAAAGGGTGTATATATACATATATATGTGTGTATGTATGTATATACATATATATGTATGTGTGTATGTATATATATATACATATATACACATATACACACATATATATAAAATATTTTGCAATGGTATATGCATATATTTTTTTATGTGGTCATTTTATGTGGCCAAATATATACACACACACACACACACACACACACACACATATATATATATATAAATCAAGTCTAGAAGCTGGAGCGAGAGTGTGAAGATCTTTAAATGCCATACAAAAGAGTTTATATTTTGTGTGGTTTGTCCTTCATTCTCAAAGAGAATCATGACATCAGGAAGATGATGCCATGATTTGCAAGTGAATTGGATTTAAGTGAGGGAGGGCTGTGCAAAGTCACTAGCCTTACCCTCTCCTCGGAGCCATCTGGATCCAGTGGTAAGATATAGATCAGGATGACTGGAGAGGCCCCAGATGCAGTGGGAGACCTTGCCCTTTATGAGCTAAGGTCTTTCTCAGGTCTCAGTTTGTCTGAGGCAACACCCACTCATTAGTTAAAAATTAGATAAGAAATGAGGCAAAGAATGGCCTTTTCCAGTTAAGCCTTAATGAAAACTAAAGATTCTAGGAGCAGGAAAAAGGAAATAGGCTCGTTTGAATGTTGAGTACATGAAGAGGAATAATATCAAGGAAGCCTGGAGTCATAATGAGAAGGGCTTTAAATGCCAAGCAAAGGAATTTATATGTTATTCAAGAGCAATAGGGAGTCACTAAAAATTACTGAGAAGGGGAAAGGATATGGCTAGACTTGTGCTTTAGGAAGATTATTTTGTCAGCTGTGTGGATGATGAATTACAAAGGGGAAAACTGGAAGTTGGGGAATCCACGTAGGAGACTATGGCAATAGTGTAGTTAAGAGGTAATACATTGATCTAAGATGGCGGCTCTGTTAAAGGAGAAAAGGGGACAGATATAAGATATGTTGTGAAGATAGAATTAAAAAGATTTGGCAACTGACTTGATGTAGGGAATAAAGAAGAAGGAAAAGCTGAGGATACTTCTGAGGTCATGAACCTGTGACCCCAACAGAAATAAGATAGTTTGAAGGAGGTGTGGTGTTTAGAATAGAAGATAATGAGATCCTTTCTACACTTGTTAAATTTGAGGTCTTCCTGAGACATCTAGTTGGAAATATCTAATAATCAGTTGATAATGTAGAACTGGAGCTGAAGTGAAAGAAATCATAGATGGCTATAAAGACTTGGGAGTAATTCTTTTAATATTTTTATTATATTATTAATTATGTTATATTAATATTTAACATTTTTATTTCAGTAAATATTTACCAATTACATGTCAAAAAATTTTAACATTAATTTTTGAAAAATGTGAGTTCCAAATTCTCTCTCTCCCTCAAGCCCCTCCCCACCTATTGAGAAAACAAGCAATAGGATATTGATTAGACATGTGAAGTCATGCAAAATATATTGCCATATTAGTTATGTTGCAAAAGAAAACACACACACATACACATGAAAAATAAAATTAAAAAATGCTTGAACCTACACTCAAGAATTCACCAGTTCTTTCTCTGGAAGTGGATAGCATTTTTCATCATGGCTTCTTTGGAATTATCCTGGATCATTGTCTTAATAAAAGCAGCTAAGTTTTTCACAGTTGATCAGCCTTACATATACATTATCGCTTACAATATTGCTGTTACTGTGTACAATGTTCTCCTGGCTCTGCTCACTTCACTTTGCATCACTTCATATAAGTCTTCACAGGTTTTTCTGAGACCATCCTGCTCATTTTTTCTTATAGTACAATAGTATTCCATCACAATCACACACCACAACTTGTTCAGCCACCCCCCAAATGATGTGCATCCCCTCAATTTTCAATTCTTTCTCACTACAAAAAGAGCTGTTATATTTTTGTTCATACAGGTCCTTTTCCCTTTTCTTTGATCTCTTTGGGATACAGATCTAGTACTGGTATTGCTGAGTTAAAAGATATGCACAGTTTTATAGCCCTTTGGGCAGAGTTCCAAATTGTTCTCCAGAACAGCTGGACCAGTTCACAACTCCACTAACAGTGCATTAATGCATTGTTTT